TGTTTGTAACCGTTGTTTGTTTTCTTTTCCTTCTAAAATTGAAATGGCCGAAGGACAAGAATATTTTTTTCTCAAGATCTACCCGTATGACTCCACCTCAAAATTTCAGGAAGTAGAAATTGCCTCAGATTAAACATTCATACGAAGTAAAATGTTTCGCAAGCTAAAAAAGATGGGAAATTTTGTCTATCGGGTATTCAAAAAATAGCTCAAAATCTGTCGCATTGCCTTGTATTTAAATATTTGGCTCTGAAAGCGATTTACCCCTATTTCTTCAAAGACAGCTATTTAACACCTCCCACTGGAATTGGAGTGGGCGTGCCTCTCACTTAAATGCCGTGTATCGAGTACGGTCTTTTTTGTCATATTTTATCGGTCCATGCCTTTTTTTTCCGCGCGACTAACACTGACGCCCACCAGATAATTGTGCGTAGGGCGCGTTACTGAGTCTCGGTAAAACTGTAGCAAGCCTGAACAACAGGCAAAAAATTATCTAAACTTACGCAAAACAATTAAAGAAATATTTAATTTTGTAGGAGACTTTATTCTGACAAGTATTTTGAATTACATTTTGTTTGCACGATTTAGCTAGGTATTTATAACGCTCGTTCTATCATTTAATTTTCCTTTTCAGGCTGCCTACGAACAAATGAAAGGGGCAAGAAACGCTGCCGTTGAGTTTCTTAAGGAGATAGCTAGAGGTGTGGTTAACTTAGCTCCAGAACAAAGCCGAAATTTCAGCCTCAGTGAAAAGGTAAAGGAACAACAATGAACTACCTATTAATTGAGATGTTCACCCGATTTGACTGTACCGGTATACGTATAGGTTTATTTCAAATTTTCAAGCCCAAAATATAAAGATACTGAAGGAAAATTATCTAAATACCAGAAGGTCATGTAAAAAATTCAAACTGTAATTGGTTTAAACCTCTGCTACCCACTCAACCAATGAGAAACAAAATCAAAACCAATGGCGATGTAGTCCTGCGCCTTTCTTCGCGGTTAGTACTAGTTACATAAAGTGGCTTCGAATTCTCTTGGTTCTTTCCGGTAGTTCTGTTTCTTGTGACTGGCCCTTGCAACTACTTTGGTTTTAGA